GCTGGAGGAGTTCAAGGAGAATAACATGGATGTCGGCTTCGGCTCAGGAACACGGGCTCTGGAGCAAGCCCTGGAGAAGACCAAAGCCAATATCAACTGGGTGAAGGAGAACAAGGAGGTGGTGTTAAACTGGTTCACAGAACACAGCTAAACAGTCTCTGGTCCGTCCATTCACCTGGCCCCTATGTGAGATGCTCACACGCCTCTGTCCCAGGGACCCACGGCAGGGCCCCTGTTTCTGAAGCCTGAGGCACCAGCGTCCTCCCCTTGGGGACAGAGTCTCTGGCCCATGTTCACTCCACTCTTCCCAGGGGACCACTCCAGTTTCTGATGCTCAGACTGTCCAAGTGCCTCCCAGCTCCTGCCCCTCACGCCAATGGCACCCCAGGCTTGGCATGGCTCCTGTCGCCCAAGGCTCTGGGTCTGATCTCAGGGAGTCCAGCTCCAGGGTCAGATGACAAGTCCTCAGTGGATGATGGATGGCCTTGGGGGGCTGCCCTGTGCCATCTCCTATCCTCTCCTAAAGACCCTGGAACTGATAAGTCTACAGAGCACCAGATCTGTATATTTTTTCTAAGATAAAATGTAAATAAAAGATTTCTAGATGAGCTTCCAGACTCATTACTGAACTTGAGCAGAATGGGTCTGCACATAGGCCAAGGGAATGTCCTGCCAGGATCCCAGGGTGACATATCAGTTTTTTAAAAATTAATTTTTTAAAATTTTGGCTGTGCTGGGTCTTTGTTGTGGCACACAGGCTCTCTAGTTGCTCTGCGGTATGTAGGACCTTAGTTCCTGAAGCAGAGATCAAACCTGTGTTCCTTGCATTGGCAGGTGGATTTTTAACCATTGGACTATCAGGGAAATCCTTCAATTTTTAAACTGGTTGTTTTCAAGAGTAGCCTACAGAAGACGATAGGTGCCCTCCAGATCACCTGGGGCAGTCAGTGATCAGGGCCAACTCTGAGGAGAAGGTCAGGGACCCACAGGGCTCCTCGGCCCACATTGGCCTTGGTGGAAATTTCTTGGCAAAGGAGGCCCAGCTGAGTGCCCAAGGCTGCTTGGGTTGGGGGGGTGGGGAGGACAGAGGGTGGGAAAAGACAGTCCAGGCACCTCAGGGGTCACCTTCAGTTGACATCACCTGTGAGCTGCTCCAGGCAGTGTTTTTCCACCCTCTAGGCTTTGGTTTCCTCATCTGCGGTATAAAGACATTTTATATCAAGGGTTGGCTTCCCAGGTGGCGCAGTGGTAAAGAATCCACCTGCCAATCCAGGAGATGTGGATTTGATCTCTGGGTCGGGAAGATCCCTTGGAGAAGGAAATGGCAACCCATTCCAGTGCTCTTGCCTGGAGAATTCCATGGACAGAGGATCCTGGTGGGCTCCAGTCTATGGGGTCACAAAAAGTCAGACATGACTGAGAGACTAAGCTTGCATACATGCATATCATACAGTTGGTGTGTGGATCTGAGAGTCACGTACTTAGCGCACAGTCTGACACTCAAGGAGAGCTGTCTCCTGCTCAAGGCCCCATTGGCCCTTTTCCCTCCTAGCCTCTTGTGAGAAGCTTGAGCCAGCGGGCCTGGGTCCAGGAAGGCTCCTCTGCGCTCCATTGCCTTCTGCACATCAAAGGGTGGGGCGGGACCAGCCTTGGTTGTGGGTCCCTCCACCAACCAGGAGGCTCCCTCCAGCCCAGCCCCTCTGGACCAGCCCTTCCTGTCTCCAGGGCTCAGTGGCTGCGGCTGGCACTTGACTTTCTGGGGTCCCTGCTGGAGAAGGGACCAGACCCACCATCTAGGGTCTCTAGGGGAGAGCTGGCCCCCAGGTAGAAGAGTCAGCAGGGACTCTAGTCTCTGAGCCTGGCACTCGGTTAAGCTTTTATGCGCATTATCTCATTTGGTTCCCAACAGGGAGATAAGGACCGTCTTTATCTCAGTTTTGAGATAAAGAAACTGTGGAGCAGGGATATTAAGACTCAGGCTCTCATGCCTGTGCAGGAGCGGAAGCGAGCTTCCATTTGGGGATGTGGTAGTTACCTGCTCGTCACCTGACCGCTTACAGCACTGGCATTCACAATGCCTGTGTGGCTGGAGGAAATCTGTCTGGAGGATGCAAAAGGGACAGGCAGAGCCAGAGAGCTGTTTGCAGGTGGTAGGCAGAACAGGAAGTGACTAGAAGTCCAGTTGCTCGGCCTCGGTCCAGAGATTTGTCTACAGGTGGATCCACCTCTCCCAGCCAACGGGTGATGGCAAGTCCTTAAGATGAGCCAGAAGCGGGTGGTGCCCTCACCTCCCCTCCACTACAGGAGACTCCTCAGGAGGCATGTCCTTTGCACTGCAGGGTCATTGAAAGGCCTGGGAGACGTACTCAGCAAATGTCCAATCTCCCATGGATGGTGCCTGGGTCCCCAGGAAGGTATGGGTAGGCCAGTCATCCCAGAGAGGGGACCAGCCTCCCCTGCAAGGCCTTAGTGGAGGTGCAGCCAAGAGCAGCCTGCCTGGGATGGAGCCATAAATGTGGGCAAGGGGCTGATGATCCTGAGAGGCAGGGCTGAGCCTGCGCTCCCAAAGGGTAAGGACAGGGGTGGGCGGGTTGACCTAACCCCCCTGGGCCCTGCTTCCCCCACTCCAGCAGCAACTAGGAAGTGTCCCAGGCGACTCCAGCTGGGGTGACATCAGCCTTTTGCCTCTGCCTTTGTATCTCCCAAAGGAACATCTCTTGCAGGGAGTTGGGAGAACAGGATTGCCAACTTCTAGAAGACGCTCAGCTCTGGCTGCTGCTGGTGGGAGCTCCAGTCCAGCCCCTGCCGATGTCATCAGTGACTGGACCAGGAAGCACTTCTCTCTGTCCCTATAAAGACTATGCCCAGATAGGTGGGAGCCAAAGGAAGGAGACGGGCGGCTATTTAGCTCCGCCGTCTGTGCAGGTGCTGTGTGACTGTGGAGCCAAGACCTTGGGTCTTCTCAAAAAGGAAAGAGCACTGGACAGGGAGTCAGGGGCTTGAAGTTCCAACCCAGCTGAAGGGCCGGATAGAGTTCTCCTCTCTCCAGACCTGTTTTCATAAAAATGAAAAGAGCAAAAAATATCCATTACTCCTGGACCTGGTTGGGCCTCAGCCCCAGGTTCCCAGGTCCTGGCTTGATGCACTCTCAGGGTTGGACCCTGGAACCAGATGACTCAACCTGTAATCAGGTGAAGGGACCACTGGACTGGAGCATCTCTGGGGTCAGGTGACTCTATTCAGGTATTCTGTATTGAGCTTTTGTTGTTGTTGTTTAGTTGCTAAGTTGTGTCCAACTCTTCACGACCCCATGGACTGTACCTCGCCAGGCTCCTCTGTCCATGGGATTCTCTAGGTAAGAATACTAGAGTGGGTTGCCATTTACTTTTCTAAGGGATATTCCTGAACCAGGGATCAAACCCACGTCTCCTGTATTGATAAGCAGAGTCTTTCCCACTGAACCACCTGGGAAGCATTGAGTAATTACCATGTGCCAAGCCTAAGAACCGAGAGGTAGGGTTTATAATTGTCTCCACTTCACAGCTGCGGAGACAGAGGCTCAGGGAGGTTTTGAAGCTTGCCCATGGTTACACAGAGTTAAGAGCTGAATGAATGTACACCCAGGGCGGTGGCACCCTGTGTCCATCTCCTTGCTGTATGCAACCTCAGGTGAGGTTTCCTCCTCCTCTGAGGGGGCTGGCAGCTCCTACAGAGGGCCCTGGGGTAGGAAACAGAACCCACTTCTGAAAGGTTGGGGGACTGATCACCTAAACCAGTTCCTCTTTTAAGAGATGGGGAAACTGAGGCACAGAGGAGTGACTTGCCTGTGGTCAAAGGGCATATCAGCAGACAGTGGGTCAGATGGGAGGCCCTGCATGTGGGAACTCACGCTCTGGTCTTCCTCCTGCCCCCTCTCTCACACTGCACCATTAGAACGGCCCCCAGCCTGGCTCCATTTCCATGAGGCTGCCATAAAGACCAAGGGAGGCTCTGACTAGGCTGTCTCATGGCAGCCGCAGTAAAATAACCCACTGGGCCTAACCCATGGGAAAAGACTCCGATCCTGAGACTTAAAGCAAAAGGAGAAGGGGGTGGCAGAGGATGAGATAGTTGGATGGCATCACTGACTCAATGGACATGAATCTGAGCAAATTCCGGCAGACAGTGAAGGATGGGGAACCTGGCATGCTGTAGTCCACGAGTTGCAAAGAGCTGGACACAACTGAGTGACTGAACAACAGCACGTGGGAGCCACGCACAAGCACCTTTGGGGAAACAATTTCACCTAACTGTGAAAGAGCTCTGTGGGTCAGCAGGAATGCACTCAGGAGAATGGGAAAGGGCCACGGTAGTGGGGTTGAGGCAAGGGGACAGGCCCAAGCGTTAACCCACCTTGCCCAGCAGGCCAGGTGGAGCCCCTGCACGGTAATTACTGTCAAATTGGCAAGTGAGGGCCTACATCAACCTCAGTAGGCCTGGATTTCTGGAGGGGAAAAGCAGCATGACTTGTTCCTTGCCCTATGGGAACATTTTTCCTTTTCCAGAAGCAATAAAAACCCAGGTGGACAGAAGAAAAACAGACAAACCAATTTTTTGTGTGTGTGTTTTTTTTAAGAAGTACAAAATCTAAGCATATAGATTTCTTCCCACTCCCCCCACCCCCGCCCCCAGTCCACTCCCCCACCAGTCCCAGCCTGGCAAACCACTGTGGTCAAGTAACCACCATCTTACTGCCACTCAGGCTGTGCCCTGCAGAGTACTGGACATTCTGGGGGATGTCAGGTAGTGGAGGGACTGCCCCAGCCTCGACTTCAGCCAGGGAGGTGACCCCCTATCTGCTTTAAACACTGCTTCTATGAAAGACATCACTTGGAAAAGGGATCCTTGATAAAAGAAAGCCTGAATACTACTGAAGTAGCCGATGAAGCGGGCAGCCTACACTACAGGCCTGATTCCTGGCTGAAAAAGGGGGTGGCCTTTACTATTGGCAGGCAAGGCCATTAGTAGAACATGCCCAGGTGAGTTCCCTCCAAATCTTCTTGCCAAAATTCGGGGCAGCTGCTGAGCGAAAGGCCTGAGTTCTGGGGAGGGCTTTCATCACTGAGCTGGAGGGCAGGGCCTGGTCCCTGGTCCTCTGAGTTGGGCAGCACCTCTGCAGCGTGGCTCCAGCATCCCCACTGGGTCTGAGGCTGCAGTCGCTGGCAGGCTGGGCGGGGCAAGAGAGGAGGGGTTTCTGGCGACAGACAGGTCTCCGGAGACACAGAGATACCCTGAGGGAGAGAAGAGCAGCAGTTTAGTGGGCCACTGCCTCAGGCCCTGAAATCCCTAACCTGAAGGTTGCCCGTAGTGTGGCTGGCAGCTGCTGAACAGCGCTGAGGCCATAGATGCACTGAAGCACAATGGTTAAGGGTACAGGCTCTGGAGATACACTGCCAGGGTTCAAATCCCAGCTCAGCTACTCACTAGCTGTGAGAACTCGTGGATAACCTCTTTTAGTCTCAGTTTTTTCCTCTATAAAACGGTGATGATGACAACAAAACCCACTTCATAGGGTTGCTGGAGGGCTGATGAGTTAATACATGTAAAGTACCAAGAATGGGGTTGGGCACACAGTAACCATTCAGTAAATCTCGTTTATTAATATGCTCTTTTACGGCAGCTTGAGGAAAACATGAAGGTCACCAGTTCCAAGCCCATCTACTTAGGAAGCCCCTCCCCCTGGGGTAGCCATGCCTCCCCTCTATTCTCACTGTCCCCCACCTCCCGGCAATACGGGGCACCAGGAGGGAATTTCCTGAAGGCCCCGCTACCTTCCACCCTGTACTCTGAAAGCAAGTCTTAAGATTCCCCCCTCCTCCCCATGGCTGCGAAGGCGTTTAGGTAGAGGTGGGGGTGGACTTAACTTCCCAGGGCCCCACCCCTCTCCCCAAGGAGGTTACGGTCCTCTTCATCCCTCCGCTTCAGCGCCTCTCCATCCCTAATCAGGATTAGGTAACCCGGGATCTAAAAGGCATGAGATTCTCGGGAGACCAGAGCTTACTCACCCCCTCCGTTTCCAATCGAAGCCTGGGGACCACTCCGAGGGAAGTGGCGAGAGCCTGGGCGCGCACCTGGTACACTGTAGCCAGCTCCAGAGACGCGGGGGGCGATGTCCAGGGTGTGGGCTGGTTCCGGGGCTCTGGGGGTGTCTGCGTTCCACAACAGGCTTGAGGCGGCGTCCAAAGGGCCGCATCAGGGGCTCTTCCTTGAGAAAGCTGCGGGGGCGACTGCATCCCGGGGCAGTAAGGGGGTGTCAGCCAGGGTCCCATGTCGGGGACCCTGCTCCCCAGGCGCTCGGGCGCCGCTAGGGCCTCGGGGCAGACGGGCGGGGACCCCCAGGACACAGCGGCACCGGCGGCCGAGCCTGAGCAGCAGCCTTGCCTCTGCGTCTCTGCGGGGCCGCCGTCGGGGCACAGCGCGCAGCCCCGAGAGGGCGCCGCGTCACTGCGCTGCCGGCGCCGGCGCTGCAGGCTGTCCTCGCTGAGGCCCAGCACGGCCGACAGGTGTCCGATGTAGCGGATGGCCAGGCGCAGCGTCTCGATCTTGGTCAGGCTCTGGCCGGCGGGCGCCACGGACGGAGGCAGAAAGCGGCGCAGCTCGTGGAGGGCGCGGGCGAGCGTGCGCATGCGCAGCTTCTCGCGCTCGCTGGCGCTCTGCCGCTGCCCGCCTGCCGGCCGGGTGCGCGCCCGGTTGGGCGCCGTCGAGGCGGTCTCTGCGGCGCTGCGGGCTGCGGGCGCGGGCTGCGAGGGCCCGCGGGCGCGGTCGCAGGGGCACGAGCCGGACGAGTCCGAGGAGGAGGAGGCCGGGGACGTGGAATCCGAGTGGCCGACCCAGCCCCAACCCTGAGGGAAGACCCAGTGGTCGTGGCCGAGGAGGCTCTGCAGAGGAGGGGACTGGGCCATGGCCGGGGCTGGCTGCAGGCTCCTCGAGGCAGGCCGGGCGGGCCACCTCCAGGACTGAGCTTTTATTCGGACCAAAGGTGCGAGGTGGACCCCCGCCAGGTTGCGGAGAGGTGTCAAAACCCACAGAGCCCAGAGAAGGTCTGGGCAGGGGGGCCCTGGGAAAGCGGGCCCATTTGCAAAGGTGTGGATTCTGACTCCTCTGGGGGGCTCTAATGGAGGTCCCTGCTGCCGGGGGAAGTGTGGGAGGGACACTTCGCATCTGGATGGAGCCGCGAAGCTTCTCACCATGTTCCCACCCACCCCGCCTCATCCACTGCTCTGGTGTGTGCCCGGGACCCTGACAGTGGTGGGCAGTGCCACCGTCTGGGGGCGGCCAGGCAGTCCCTCAAATGACTCATGGACCCCTGCAAAGAGTGGCCGCCTCCCTCATCACGACCCTCCGGGAGGCTGTGCCCAGTAACTCCCACGCAGTGCCTACAATTGTGCGGAGTAGCGTCAAGACAAACGCCGCGGGACTTGCTCACGGTGATGGCGGGAGAGGGGGTTGGGGAAAGGAGGGGAGGTACAGGTGGACCCTTCCTGGGTTCCCAGAACCCGCACTTGCTGCTTCGCTGAGTGATACCGAGAGGGTCATCTCACTGTCCACAGTTTCTTTCCCTGAAAAATAGGACAGAGCCAGCAGCCCGGAGAAGAGACATGGAGTGTAGTGGGTGATGAAAATGAGGGAGGTTGGGCCCCCACGCAGGCCTGAATCAGATCCTCCTTATTTGCTGTGTGACCTTGGGGAGTTCATTTAACTCCTCTGAGGCTCATCCTCATGACAGTAATAACAAAATACCTACCACCTAGGGTGATTGCTGCTGCTGAATGGAACCATCCATGGGACCACTTAGTGGGAGCCTGGCAAGTGGGCTAAATGTTTGCTACTATCATTTTCTAAAGAAAGTATCAATATTTATGTCTCAAGATGCTTGTGGGCATTAATCATTTAATTCATATTTGTTCAGCAACTGGTGAATGTCAGGCATGCCAGAGTGAACAAGATAGTTGTAGTCTCTGCTCTCTATGGGATTTCAGTCTTACTGGGAGCTATGTCAGCATGTAATTAGTAGCTCCACCGTTAGCTCGCTGTGTGCCCTTGGGCAGCTCTGAGCCTGAGCTCTTAAAGAGGGAGTAATAATTATAGTATCTGCTCACAGGACTGTTTTTACAGTCTTATAGTATAATCTTTGACACAGTAAAGTTTAAAAGTGCCCACTCCTCAGCAATAATTGCACTTAAAGGAGGCGTCAGTGTTCTTCATATCTTCAGAGAAAAGGCTGAAATCCAAGGCTAAAGGCCAAGTGGGGACCAGGAATGGTTAAGGTCTGGCCACGGAGGCAGAGAGGTCACAGCTGGGCCTTGAACCGTGATTAGGACTTGCGTAGGGAGAGAGGCAGGCAGGTGGAGAGCATTCTGAATATGGGAACTGCATAAGCAGAGGCCTGGCAGGGGCCTTCCCAGCGTGCTCAGGTGTGCCAGGGTGATGTGAACAGCATAAGCTCACCTTAGCTGGGGCCAGGCTAAGAAGGTGGATCTTACTCCTGAGGCAAGGGGGAGCCAAGTGACTTTTGAGCAGAAGTGGGACAAAAAAAAAAAAAAAACAAGCAACTCAGCATTCAGTAACTAAAAGTTAACGTGATGATGTTTCAGGAGTAGGTTAACCCGCACCAGCCTAAAGTAGTAAATGGCCTTGTGGTATTTTTGTGACTGTTTAAAAATTAACTGTTACTTACACCAATTATATAGCAATACATTCTCTTTATAGGAAATGGAAACATAAAGCTGGAGTCCCTGTAACCGCTCCCCAAGGGTCATGTGTCTTTCCAGACTTGGTCCCTGTGCACTCCCAGAAACATTTGTATCCTTAGAAAACACATGGTATAAATGAGATAACGTTATGGCAAGTTGTCTGTGATTTGCTTTTTCTCATTCAACAGTGTATCTTAGAGCCTTCCATGTCAGGACGTGTTTAGCTGACTCATAGTTGGTCTTAGTTGATTTAAGTGTTCATCTGTTTAAATCTTACTGTGTCATTCTAACTGGAAAAGAAAATAATGGTAGGAGGTGCAGATAAACCTTCAATGATGAAATTATACCACTTTCTCCTCAGAACTTAATTCTTTAAATATTGGAGAAAATATGCCCAAGTTAACTACTCTATGATGAAATAATAATTGACATTGAATAAGATTGGTCAGGGCACCTGTTTTTAGTTTTACTACTATAATAATGAAGGGACATATTTAATTTGTTCATCACAAAGAAGGTGGAATCAATCAACAATGGCCTTGATTTCAAACAGGAGAAAAGCAATTCGTTATGCAATATTTCATGATTTAAAAGGGTTTAAACCAAGGTTAAAAATATAATCCTGGGTACTTCCCTGGTAGTCCAGTGGTTATGACTCCTTGCTTCCAAGGCAGGATGCATGAGTTCAATCCCTGGTTGAGGAGCTAAGATCTCACACGCTGCATAGAGCAGCCAAATAATAATAATATAAAAAATAATAATCCTTTTGTCCTAAGGGGAGAGAGACTTAGAAAATAGTCAATCCTACACTTTTAAGGATTAAAATAATGGCAAATCGTTATTTATCCAAGGCTGCACAATACTTTAAAGATATTGACATATACTATCAGGAAATTTATGTAGATGTAATTGACAGTTATAAACAGGACTCATCAGGTTTCATGTATATTTCTTGATCTGGATTCTGGAGTGTCAAATTGAGGTGCTATTGATCTTGAGTGCTCCAGCTCACTTCTTTTCACTGCAATATAGTATTCGTAACATGCTCACACCATAGTCAGTCCCTTTTTAATGCACCTTTGGCGTGTTTTTAGTTTTTGCCAAAGAGTGCTGCTTTGTGCACAGGCAACGAGGTATGGAGTGGTGGAGTGGCCTTGTGATTCCCAGGAAGGAACAAGCCTGGAGGAATCTCCTGTGAAAGCACTTGGTGAGTTAGGGGAATTCACCATTGGCAGAGCCCTGCATACTGTCCTTTCCTCTCTAGGATAGCCTGCCTTCCTTCTGTCTTAGTTTGGCTTAGTCCTACAGCCCAGGCCTCAGGCTGACTGTGGGATGGCAGAGCATAAGTTCTGGGAGGTGAGGCCCTGAAGCTGGTCTGCTGTGGCCCCTGGCTCTTTGCTGGGCCCCTCAGCCAGGCTCCGGGAGCGCAGGGGCACACTGCTGGCCCCACTCAGCATTGGGAGGCAGTGTGGCTTAATGATTAGGAGCCTGGAATGTAGAATCAGTTAGACCTGGGTTTAAAGTCCAGGCTTCATCCTTTCCCAGCTGTCAGAGCTTGAGCAACTTAACCTCAGTTTTCTCGTTTGTTAAGTGGGGATTCTCATTTCCAGGGCAATTGTTGGTGCAAAAGCAAGATAACGCATGTCTGAGGACTTTCCTAGTGATCCAGTGGTTAGGACACTGTGCTTCCAACATCACAGGCATGGGTTCAGTTTCTGGTCGGGGAACTAGGATCCAGCATGCCGCACGGTGTGGCCAAAAAATAAATAAAAAATAATAAACTTGTTAAAAAAATAAATTGTTGTTCAGTCACTCAGTCGTGTCTGACTCTTTGTGACCCCATGGACTGCAGCACACCAAGCTTCCCTGTCCTTCACCATCTCCCAGAGTTTGCTCAAACTCATATCCTTTGAGTCAGCAATGCTGTTCAACCATCTCGTTCTGCCCTTGCTCTCAATCTTTCCCAGCATCAGGGTCTTTTCCAATGAGTCAGCTCTTCGCATTGGGTGGCCAAAGTATTGAAGCTTCAGCTTAAGCCTCAGTCCTTCCAATGAATATTCAGGACTGTTTTCCTTTAGGATTGACTGGTTTGATCTCCCTGCAGTCCAAGAGACTCTCAAGAGTCTTCTCCAATACCACACTTCAAAAGTATCAATTCTTCGACACTCAGCCTTCTTTATGGTCCAACTCACATCCATAAATGACTACTGGAAAAACCATAGCTTTGGTTATATGGACCTTTGTGGGCAAAGTGATGCCTCTGCTTATTAATATGCTGTCTAGGTTTGTCATTGATTTTCTCCCAAGGAATCACCGTCTTTTAATTCCATGACTGCAGTCATCATCTGCAGTGATTTTGGAGCCCAAGAAAATAAAGTCTCTCACTGTTTCCATTTTTTCCCCATCTATTTGCTGTTAAGTGATGGGACTCCTTAAAAGGAAAAGGTAATGTATGGCATCACCACCATGTTATAGAGCCTTTGTTTATAAGTCTTTCTTATAGCAAGTTTGGGGCAGCAGAATGAAGAGGGTTAAGGACAAGATTGCGTTGTGGTAAGATGGCTGACAGCTTCATCTGTGGCCCCAGACGATGGTTCCTTCCTCCCTCACTCTAGCACCAGGCCTCGGGCATCCTGCCCTAACCCCCTCCTCCAACTTCAGCCTGTCTTCTCCGTGGACCCAGCATGGGGTTTGTCCTCAGCAGGGCACTCCTGCTCCTGGCCTGTGGCAGGGCTCAGCAGTGCTGCAGGGCAGAGGCAATGGAAGAGTTCTAGGTGTTGGAGCCAAAACCAGAGCCAACTGGCCCAACCAAGGCCAGAAAGTGGAGAATCTGAATCAGCTTCTGGTGGGCTGGGTCCTGGCCCAGGTACTCTGCCCGTTTGCTCTCTGACCCTGAGACCCTCAAGCCTTCTTCCTGGTGTGCCTGAAGCAGCCCTGGGTGCTGCATGAACAAGTGAGGTCTGGGCCCCAGGGCTTCCAGCTGGGCAGTCTCCATTTCTCTTTCATTTGACTCGCCTGGTGAAAGGAGGGATATCTATGGCTGTGTGCTGTTAGATAAGGTGATTAATTTTTGAGCCTCAGCATGATAGTGACACCAGTTTCACCCCCTTCCTTCCTATGATAGCAGGAGGTGGTAGATGGATCAGGGAACCATGGTCAGTAGAATGTTGACTAGTGTGGCAGACTCTTCTGGTTGTCCACACAGTGTC